ACTGTCTCTCTCTCTCTCTCTCTCTCTCTCTCTCTCTCTAGATCATGCAAACCCGATTCAAAGACAATGGGTTGAAGCTAATAAACCCTAGCCTCAATGGCTTGTATGAGGGTCCCAAGACATCCCAAAGGAAACTAAGTTTCTGATTTTCTGATAGTTACAGCAAAAGCATTAATCTGCAGTAGGTAAATAAGGTCTTCCCTTTTAATAGATTTGGCTTGGCTTCTAAGTCAAAGCTCTCTCAGATTTCCTAGGAACATTAAATGGATTCTACCCTTCCCAAGTCATTCAAAATACACTTTCCCTAGTCATGCACAATGCCACTTCCAAAGCTATATTTCAAATTCAAATTCAGATTCAAACATTTTCCTCCCAAGTCTCCCCATGTCTGAAATTTAAAAGAACCCCCCGGATTTTTCTGTAAATTACAAAGAAGTCCATTACAAAGAAAAATCCCCAAAATAACCCTGCAAAAAAAAAAAATGCAGTCCAAAAGGAATTATGCTAAGTGGGAGTGTTGAGATTTGAGAGTGAACATAGCTTTTAGTTTCATCTCTTGCCATCACCACCACTAACCTATGCCTCTCTCACTCCCTCTCTATCCATTTCCCTCTCTCCATCCCATGACTCAGAGAAAGCAGAAGAAAGAGGTCTATGTGCAGATTTCTCCCAACTCGCCAAGAGTGCACATTTTTTTATAGGGATAATAGAGGAAATGAAGAGGACGAAGATGAAGATGATGAAGAAGAGAAAAGCAACAGAAGAACAATTAGATCCTCTGTAGGTTGTAACTCAGATTCGAATTTTGAATGGAATGGGAAAACATAATTTGCCTTGTTTCCATGTTTTATTGAATTGAGAAACATGAGATAGCATATAGATGATGCCACTGGTGAACTGCCATTTGTTACTTGTCCCATACTATATCTCGGAGATGATTTAAGCTGTAACACCCTATTGAAGAAGACGATGGCCATTGTCGTTCCATTTGTTTGGGAATGTAGTTCATTACACATTGTTATAAATTGCTTTCCCTTAACAATTTTAAACATGAGAATTTAGCCCACTTTTCTAGTTCACCACCAACAAACATAAACAAACAATAAAAATAAAATACAACAAACATGAGATGTTGATGACAACAAAAAACAAGTCCCCTTGTGCAATTTGTCTTTGTCAATCGTCTAACATCTTGATCAATATTCGTTGTTTGATGGTCGTGATGTCTGCGAGTTCCATTCTTGGATTTTTAGTAGTGCCTACCAGGATTGTCTTTACTTACCTTGCTACTGTTTGCCTATGTCTAAAAGATTAGGAAGCATTACCAACATTTGCAAGAGAAAATTGCATATAATAAGAGTCATGAATAACATTTGTAAGGGATAACAAGGGAAAATTGCATAAAACATTTACAATGCTGCTTTTTTTTGGAAAGAGATTATTCATTTTATTTCTGATTTCTTTGGCTCTTCTCTCTCTACTTGTTCACAAGAACTTGGTAATGTAGCACACAAGACCAGTAGCCACCATGAAACCTCTTACTCTCTCTCTTCCCCTTCTCTCTCTCACTCATCACACTCTCTCTACATCACCTGGTTCCCACCTTGGCTAAGAAATGTCACCCTGATTATGAAGCAGGTCTGTTAGGGTTCAAAGCCCTGATTAAGGAGGACCCGTCCGCCATGCTTTCTTCATGGAAACCCAACACTGATTGCTGTAAATGGGATGGAATCAATTGCCTCTCAATGAACAGAGTAACGACTAGCTTCCTCTATGGCCAAGAAGATGACCCCAAGAGCATTTTATTAGGCCCCATCTCATTTTCTCTCTCTAAACTTACTTACCTCAATGGGATTTATCTCCTGAATCTCAGAAAAATTACAGGCACTTTGCCCTCTTTTCTATCAAAGTCCCCAACATCAACTATGTGTAGAATTGTTAGCTACATGGCAATTTGCCGGAAAATATAGGCCAATTATTTGGACTAGAGGCTCTCAGTTTCAGTGGAAACAAGTTTTCGGGCCCAATTCCGAACTCCATATCCAATCTAACCAAGCTTGCCCATAGACCTTTTTCTTCTGCTTTCTCTGAGTCAATCTCGAAGCCCTAAGTTCTCAGCAGTGCTTTTCAATACAGTTCTGCACATGAACCTCTTTCTTCTGCTTTCTCTAAGTCATGGGATAGAGAGAGGAAAAATGGAGAGAGAGGGAGTGAGAGAGGTGGAGGTGAGTGGTGGTGATGGCAAGAGAGAGGGAGAGGAGACGCGGTTGGGGGTTTTGTCGAGAGAGAGATAGAGAGCGAGGAGTCTGTTCCAAAAAGACAGAGAGAGTGAGGAGGAAAGGGAAGAGAGAAAGAGGAGAGTCTATGGTGGTACAGGGTGTCAGCATGCAAGCAGTAAATGGAAGGAAGGGAAGAGAGAGAGAGCGTACAGTTGTACACGGTTGTCAGGGGCAGGCATTAAATTTCGAATGAAAATTGAGGGGAACAACATCGTAACCATCAATTTTACACAAATAAATCAACGTCGTTTGGCGCACTTAAGACGGGTACACGAGCCGGTGCACATGATCATTTTCCTATATATATATATAATATATATGTATAGCGTGCAGTTGGCATACAGATGCATCCGTAGCTGTAGAGGTAAGGTGCACCTTCAAATTTTGTCATGGTATATAATTTTGATGTAAAATGTTCTTATGATTATCTCAAAATCTATTTTTATATCTAATTATAAATTTTAAATTTCAAAAATGGTTAAAATCAAATAGATCTATAAACATATGAAAATCTTGAAATGGACGGTGTAGATAATACGTTGTAAAATGCACTATTTCTGAGACTTAAAATCTTTTTTATTTTTCATGGTCATACATCTTGATGTCGAGATGATCAATCAAAGGGTTTTTCAACATTAAAACTACCTTTTCCGATGGATTTTTGAGGTGCATCCGTAGTTCTACATTATAAGGTTGCATCCTTATATAGACTTTTTCCTTTACTTTTTCTTTTGTTACTTATTAGGCCTTTGAATATTCCATTGAATTCTGTATTTTGTAATTTGGGATGCCCACTCAAAAAATTCATTCTATGCTTGCTCAGATCAATAAATTGCAGTCTACGTTCCGTCAGTGGGAACAGATTGCGCCTAATACCGGGGAGCGTGTTCATCTGACAAAGGAACTCATTGCAGGATCCGAGAGCATTGTATGGCAGGTAATAACATGTGTTTGTTTGGAGATTTAATCGCAGGAAACATCCAGGGGGATTTTAGATCATTGATGCTTTAGCTTAGAGAGAGAGAGAGAGAGAGAGAGAGAGAGAGTTTAGTTTACTACTAGTACGTACTAAGTTAAGGTTTAGGTTTAGTTT